TAATAATAAATTTTGAGCAGGACATGTGTCAATTTCCATGTTACCTGAATGATGATTTCATAGATCCATCTTTACCCTGCCCCCAAATAAGCTCTATCTTAGTAATTTTAAGTCTATACCAGTTGTTATCATGGCACTTTGTTTTGTGTTTCCAGAGCACCCACCACGGAGCGTGTTGCATTTTTGCATATTATTTGTCATCTCACAAGAATGTATGGTCCACATGGTTCAGGATCCGTGTTAGTTGAGCCCAGTTCCCCAGATTGTCAGCCCCACCCTTCCTCCTGTACGCATGGGGGCAGATAGTGCCTTGCTGAAATAGAATATGTGGGATGTTTTAGGACTCGGTGGTCTTTGAGGAAGTGGCCGTGAACTTTACCCCAGAGGAGTGGGCTTTGCTGGATCATGCTCAGAGGAACCTCTACCGAGATGTGATGCTGGAGACCTTCAGAAACCTGGCCTCCTTGGGTAAGGATGACACCATCCCTTCAGTATATCTCCAGAGAGCAAATATATCTTGTCTTTTTAAAGTGTGGGCTCAGAAATTGAAATATATTGGAAAAGAGACAGACACGATCCCAACCCTCATGACACGTGGAGTCAAAAGACTTCTCTGTGAAAACCAAGTTGGTTTTTATTTATTTATTTTTGAGACGGGGTCTTGCTGGGTTGCTCAGGCTGGTCCTGAACTCATGGGCTCAAGCCATCCTCCCGTCTCAGCCTCTCGAGTAGCTGGGACGACAGGCACGAGCCACCATGCCCAGCTGATGAAAACAGAGTTTTGTGTATTATTGAAATTTTATTTTTCTTGATTACCAGGCTTGAGGCTCCCTATGTTTTGTGAGTGTGAACATTGTCTCCAGTGTCACATTGGGGCAGTGAAAGCAGCTTTGTGGGTTCATCCCTGTGAAAGTTGCACTGTGATTTATCCACAGTTGACGTAATTTGCTGCAATTGTACCCACACTGAATCATCATCAATGGTCTAGAAGTCCAAGGTATTGGCCTATCTCGTGGAAGTGTTTGTTACTCTCATCATGTAATTTTCTCCATGAGTATATGGCAGCCACATATAGCCATCTCGTCTCCCAAGGACAGCTGGGGACAGTGCAGAAATGTTTCACGTAGGGCCTCTATGCATGCGAGTGCCTTGGGAGGAATAGGTTAAGGAGATTCTGTTTGGATGTGTCAGTTAGAAACATAGATTGTTCTCTGTTTAAGAACGATGCTTTGTTTGACGTTTTTTCCATCCTTCTCTGGGGAAGACCTGTATTTCCCCTTACAGAGATAGCATTTGGGCATGTGCATTTTGCTCACTCCCTCCCTACTTTGCTTTTCTGATAACATTCTACTTATCTCAACAACAGTCGCCATCTGTTTGGAAGTGGTTCTTAGTAAACAGGCTGTCATTTTGATGCATTCTTTACTGTTGCGAAAGTCCCAGATAGACAAGGTCCTCAGAGTCTCACATTGGTGGCATGTCTGTTCTTATAAAATGTGGTTACAATTTTGGGTCAGTACATGAAAAGAAATCCACATGTGGTCTATTTTCTTTCTTCTATCCTACCATTTTTTCCCCCAAGGAATTAAATTGTGTCACTAATTGTTGCAGATTGTTGCATTTATGTTAGAACCAATGGATCAAGTCCTCGGCAGGATATTTTTGGGAGTGAAGTATCCAATGGTGCGAAAATTGTAAAATTCACAAGAAATGATTCCTGGTCTATTTTTGGAGAAAACTGGAGATTTGATAACATTGAAGATCAGCACCAAATCCCAGAGAGGCATTTGAGGTGAGTGGCACTCAACCAGAAGAATGAATATCTCAGCAAGTATAAGACTAACTTGAAATTAAAGAATAAGTGTATTTGAGAGGCTGAGATGGGAGGATTACTTGAGGCCAGGAGTTCAAGACCAGCCTGGGCAACATAGCAAGACCCCATCTCTACAAAAAATTTTAAAATTAGCTGGGCATGGTGGTATGCATGTGTAGTCCCAGCTACTCAGGAGGCTGAGGTAGGAGGATGGCTTGCACTCAGGAATTGGAGGCTGCAGTGAGCTATGATGATGCCACTGCACTCCAGCCTGAACGATAGAGCAAGACTTTGTCTCCAAAAAAAGCCAAAAAGAATAAGTATAAACCTAGCTATAAACAATTGTTTACTCCGGGAGTTTTCATAGGATAATATTTTCATAAATTTGATGTTGATATTAAGTATCTGAAATATAATCAGTTGTAAACAATATCCAAAAACCCCATATGTACGAAACGCTGTGACAGTTATGGCTATAGTTGAGCCTCCACCCAGAGCCTTAAGATTGTTCTACTTGGAAACAATGTTGATGATGCTGAAAATATACTGATTCAGTGAAAATGGCCAATCATTAATGACTAACGGTGTGCTTACTATTTTAAACAGAAGCCAGTTGGTGGAGAGCCTCTGTGAAAGTAGCGAAAGTCATAAATGTGGAGAAACCTTGAGCCAGATTGAGAACTTGATTGTGCACAAGAGTTACCCTATGGAAGTTAGGCCCAGTGAATGTACTAAATGTGGCAAAGCCTTCAAGAATCAGCAAAAGTCTCACACTGGACAGAGACCGTATCACTGTGAGGCGTGTGGGCAAGTCTGTGGTTGTCTTTTGTGCCGAAGCCCTCATGTGGAAACTCTCATTGTGGAGAAACCCTATAAACGCCAGGACTCTGGGAGAGCATCTACGAAAAATGGGAAAAATGTCAGCAGTAAAAAATCTTTCGAATGTAAGAAATGTGGAAAGGCTTTCACTTGTCCCTCTTCTTTTAGGGGACATGTGAGAGGTCACTGTGGACAGAAAACACACGCATGTAAAGTATGTGGGAAAACGTTCATGTATCACTCCTACCTTACACGACACGTAAGAACTCATACTGGAGAGAAACCTTATGAATGTAAGGAGTGTGGGAAGGCCTTCAGTTGTCCCTCGTACTTTCAAGAACACGTTAGAACACACACTGGAGAGAAACCATATGAATGTAAGCACTGCGGAAAAACATTCAATTGTTACTCATCTTTTAGGGATCACGTGAGAACGCACACCGGAGAGAAACCCTATCAATGTAAACATTGCGGAAAAGCCTTCACTTGTTACTCATCTCTTCGAGAACATGGGAGAACACACAGTGGAGAGAAACCCTACGCATGTAAGCAATGTGGCAAAACCTTCAGGTATCCCTCATCCCTGCGGGCACACGGGAGGATGCACACTGGAGAGAAACCTTACACGTGTAAGCAGTGTGGGAAAGCCTTTGGTTGCGCCACTTACCTTAGAAGACACGTGAAAACACACAGTGGAGTGAAACCCTATGAATGTAAGGAGTGTGGGAAGGCCTACAGGTTTTCCTCATCCCTTCGAATACACGTGAGAACGCACACTGGAGAGAAACCCTTTGAATGTAAGCATTGTGGGAAAGCCTTCGGTTGTCACTCCTCCCTTCAAGAACACGTGAAAACACATAGTGGAGAGAAACCTTACGAATGCAAGCAATGCGGGAAGGCCTTTAGCCATTCTCAGTATTTTAAAAAACACGTGAGATCGCACAGTGGAGTAAAACCCTATGAATGTACCGAATGTGGGAAAGCGTACAGTTGTTCCTCATCCCTTCGCGTGCATGTGAGAACGCACACTGGCGAGAGACCGTATGAATGCAAGCACTGTGGGAAAGCCTTCAGGTATCTTTCGTCCCTTCAAGCACATGTGAGAACACATACTGGAGAGTAACTCTAAGAATACAATGAATGTGTGGAAGTGTTCATTCAACCGTAAAACCTTGTTGTCAATGCAAAAACAAAACAAAAAACCCACACTGGTAAGAAACCTTATATATGTAGAGAATGTGAGAAAACTTTCTGGTATAGTACTTATTTTGTACAAGAAAACTCAGAGTAGGAGAGAAATTTCTTGATTATTATTGTGATATCACCTTCTAAGTGTCTCAGCCTTAATAGTGACTCCTAGTGTATTAATTTCTAGTTTATGTTTGGGATATAAACAGTAAATATCCTGTTTTTTACCCTTTCAGCTATATTAACATTTTGTTATATAGAACTTTAAATAATCATATGGTTATTTAAAACCTTTCATATTTACATTACGATGTCTTTTGGACCCAGAGGCGATAAAGTGTTTTTTTCTTTTCCTGTACAACTTGACGTGATACTAGATGAAACGTTTCCTTATTTTTACTTTCCATTATGTTTCCAGTGTGTGAACACGGTGAGACTTCGGTGCTGAAAATTTTTTCCAGTCCACAGTTGCAGGTACTGGCATTCGCTGTCACGCTATGCACCCCTTCAGTCCTTCTTATTGGAAGACGTATATTCCACATTTGTTTGTCGCTAGTAGATACCACATGTGTATAATTCACAGAAATAAGTACTTGTGGAAGGCTCTTGAAAGAGGTCATTATCAACTGATTTATGGTCATATTTCACATTATACTCGTTGTCCTTCATCTTGGTTGGAAATTGGACACACTGCATTGAGTTAAGAAGAGAGACCTTCTGGCATAAAGATGAAAGTTAGTGTATAGATGGTTCTATTGAATTGTGTTGTCAACCTTAATAACTTTGGAAACCATATACCCTCGAGCCCCTTCTGTTTATGGTTCTGAGTTAAAGTTCATAAGAAGAGGAAGGTACATGAGTTTTGGGAAGTAGGGAAGAAGCCATTATTCTCAGTTCTTCATTATCATCAGGAAACAGAGACATCATAACCTAGTGGGCCTAGGTTATAGCACATTTTTCTGACTTCTGGCTCTGCTAAGCTAGAAAAGCCCCAAAGGAAACATAACATGTTTGACTTTGTTTCCTCTTAGGCAGCAAACTCTACAGACTTTCCCACAAGCTTCCCCATCGTGGACCCTCCTTGCTATTCAGGCCCACACAGATCCCTTGATTTCGCTGTAGCTCTGTGGGTTTCATCAGGCTATTTCTGGCTGTTGCATTTCGTGATCTCTCATCCTGTGAACCCCTTTATCTCCAGCTCTTCTCCTATTTACATCATGTCTGTAGCAATCATCTTGTTCCTTAATGGTAGCTCTGTTTCCTGACTCCACTTTGGCAGATTTAATGTTGCAGCCAAAAATGCCCAAAACTTAAGTTCCTGGTTACATCGTTGGGAGGTGGCAGTGACTACTGAAGCTGCCATTTTATTTCCAACAGGTTATGATTCCCATTGTCTGTGGCCCCAGAGTTTATTGCTCATTGAGCTACACGATCCTCCCTGTGACCTCCTGGAAAGCTTAAAGAGCTTAAGTGAAACAGACTGATATTCTTTCTCTGGTGTCACAGGTGTGTCCATACCTGTTTCACCATGTAAAAAAAAATTTCCTTAGAAAATGAGAAGCTTCAAATCCATTTTGGGTATGTGCACATTTTCATCCAATTAAACAATACCATTGGTTGGACAGAATTTTGTAATGCAGGAGTTAACATCTTCATTGCCCACAGTAACCAATACTTATCCCAATATAATTATTTTTCAGGTCCTACTCATGATGTCTTGAAATGAGTATATGAAAAAACCTAGTTCTTTTCTCTGTGAAAGACATTGTTCCATAATTCCATAATTCATCTCAATGCTGTACCATCTTATATGACAGGTATCACAATCCCCTTTTACAGATGGGAAACTGAAGTTAAGAGGAGTAAACTCAATTAATCCAAGATAGTAGACATTATTCGTATGTCAGCCTGATTTCAACCCAGGTTTTTGGAAGTAACACTGCATGCACAGAATACATCTCGTCTTAAAGCATCAGGTGTTCTTGGCATTTCAGTTACCACATATATATGAGTATAATATCCATTTGCGTGTTTTAATATGTAACAGTTTACCATACATATGTTATTTGATCTTCACAGAATGGACACTATAGATATTTTAGCCTCTTTCAAACTTTAGACTCAGGAAAGTGATTCCCCAGCTTGCATATCAATGAAAACATTTCAAAGGTACACCACAATCTGCGGTGTTTTGCTCTATTTGCTGAGCCCTGCTCCAGTGCTAGGTCTCCATCCTCTCCCAGGACAGAAGTTTCCTGTCTCCAGCTCCAGCGCCTGGGCTGGGCGGGGCCTCTGCGGTCAAACGTCTGCGTGGAGCCGACGTGGTGACGTCACGTCATGAGACACTGAGTACAGACCCGGGGACCTCATGGCCCCGGCCCGCCGGACCCTGCCGGACCGGAGGCTACGCCAGTTCCGCCCTGGCCCCTCCTGCCCCAGACACGGACGCTAGGTGAGGAAACCGAGTCTGGAGTTACCGCGCGCGTCCGAGAGGAGGACGCGGGAGGGGCCGCCGACTGCGGGGAGAGGACGGTATTGGCCCCGGGCCCCCATGCGAAGGCCCCCGGGCGGGTGGGCGGGGTCACACATTGATTTTTCTCGAGGGGCCTGTCACTCAAGCTGCAAGGGGCGGGACATAGAGAACTATCCAATGTGGCTGCGGTCTAATCAGGGACGCTTAGTGGCAGTCTGGAGGAACTGCCCAATCAAGGATACCAGTGAGGGACGAGTTGGAAACTCTCCAATCAGCGCTGACGTCGGCAGCACCGTCCAATCAGGGGGGCCGCGCCCGAAATCTGTCCAATCAGGCCGTTAAGGCGGGGCCGCCGTTCTCACAGCTCCCCGTGCCACGAGCGGCCCAGGCCCAGGCGTTTCCGTTTCCGGCGTGGGCACGTGCCTGCGAGGGCTGTAGCGCCGCTGGGAGCCCAGGAGTGGGCCCGGGACACAGTGAGTGCGCGGGGCCGGGAGCAGAACTGGGGAGGGGGCGGTGCGAAGCGGCCTGAGCCGGCGGGACCCGGTATCAGCCCCTGAGTCCCGGCCGGGGCTGGGGGACGCGGGGAAGCCCCACCCCGTGAGCTCCTGGGCCCACGTGCGACGTCGTTACCGCACGAAGGGGTCAGGGGCTCAGGGAGCAGTTTGGGGCGACAACCGGAGTTGGGAGGGTAACGCGCCCTGGGGCCCGACAAGTGTGTTCCATTACAGCTTAATAGGTCTTTTATGAAGGCTTCAGTTTTCAGTTAATGTAAAATTATGAATTCTTCAGGCCTAAATTTTGTTCGACCTAGTGAGAATAACAACTTTCTCAGATTTCTTTGTCTTCTGTTGCTGACTGCTGTTACTCAGGAACTTACCCTGAGAGTGCTGCTGTGAATAAGTGTCGCAGTAATAGTGTTTCTTCCATCGAGGTATAGAGAATACACGCAGCTCCACACCTAAAAGTGAGGTGGATGAAGAGAAGGGTTTAAAGTATTCATATACATCGTTGTCACTCTTCTGTGCAGAGTGCAGAGTTTGTGACAGTGTGTGATCCTGTTCTATTTCTTGTTAGTGTTTGGGCATTAGATTAATGCAAATTCTGGAAAATATGACCCATAAAACTGAGGAGTGTTCAATTCTGATTGACACACAACTTGTTATTGTTGCTCTTTTAACACATTGCCACACTAGAAACAAATTTTTTTCCCTGAGGCCACAGTGTTTTATTAAAACGATCCTTTATAATTTTTTTTATTGTTTTCTGTACGTGAGTTACATGCAACGCAATCCACGTTTTTAGAATTAAATTGTCAATATTAACTGTAGGAATGAGAACATCAACAAGTAAGATTTTTCACAGACCAACTGCAGGGTTTTCTTTATGAGGTTCCAGCCTCCAAACTAGCGTGAGTTAAATACAACTCACCTGGCGGTCAGTGTATTAAGGAATATAGTGACTTGGGCAAGAGATGTGGGAGTTAAGTACTCCATACCGTTTTGTCTGCAAACCATTTTTCCTGAGAGCTGCACATCCTCACAGAATGAGGGGCTTTGTGAAATGCTGGCAAGCAGAAATGACCAAACACGGCTTCTTACTTTTGCTACTCTGTTTTGTTCCTCGAACACACAGTGAAATTAGTGGTTGTCCTGTAGTCGCATTCCAATACTGGGATTGGGAGTCTTTGAGTAATTTAAAATTTCAGTGGTGGCGTGAAGCCAGTGTAGCTCCTGGGATCTGGAGTGAGGGTTTGACTCCAGCTAAGTCCACCGTTGAGCCCGCAGAGGAGGTTAATAAAGGTGCAGTTTGGCTTTCTGAGGAGCGTCTCCCCCGTGCAGGGGGCCTCCAGCCAGAGCAACCACCGGCAGGAGCTGTTTATGGTGAGAGTCCTCATGGAGGTTTGGAAGGGGGAGCTATCCTGGTGCAGATGCGGTTGGGGGCGTTTCGTCCTTACTGAGGTGGTACTTGTGGTGGCCGTGGGGATGCTTGCTGATAGTTTAGCTTGTGTGTGCACAGAGTTGGTGCAGAGTGTAATTTGTGCAAACTGAGAAAATCTGTGAAAATCAGACTTAAGAATAGATTGTTTGGGTTCCACTGTTGCTGAAAGAGTTTATGAATTGGTGAATTTATTTGGGTGAGAACTTAAACTGACTCCAGCTGAGAGTTTCCTGGGTGGTGAGAAGTGATGTCTTGGAGGAGGGAGCATTGCATTGCAACACTGTGAGGAGGGGGAGGAAACTGTGGAGACAACCAGAGCTAAGTCCCCTGGGTTCTCAGGTTTCCCTCCTTGCCTAGGAGTGGCCCCCCAGGGGTACATCTCTGCAGGAAGAGGCTGTCCCCCAAGCTTGGGAGGTTTCCCCTAGCCTGGGGTTTCCTTGTGCATTGTGGGTGAAGGGCGTTGCTGATCTGAGCTGGTTCAAATGTTAGCTTTTCTTTTCCTTGTTTCCATTATGGAATCTTGTTGCCATATAATTGCCCAGTAACAGGTTGCAGAAATGCCCTTCTACTCTTAAGTTTGTTGAATGTTTTTGTTGTGAAACGGTGTTGAATTTTGTGAAACGCTTTTACTGCATAAGTTGAGATGATCATGCGGTCTTTTTCCTTTATTCTGTTAATGTGTTTTATATGAATTGATTTTCCTGTATTGAACCACCCTTGCATTCATGGCATAAATCCTGTCTGGTGTATAATCAATCACATACTTCTGGATTCAGTTGTCCAGTAATTTGTTGAGGACTTTTGCATCTATATTCAAAAGCGTTTTGGTCTGAAGTTTTTTTTTTTTTTTTGCCCTTCGTGTGATATCTTTGTCTGTCGTGGTAATGGTGGCCTAAAGAAGGCATTAGAGGCCAGACACAGTGGCTCAGTCCTGTAATCCCAGCACTTTAGGAGGCTGAGGTGGGAGGATTGCTTGAGGCCAGGAGTTGGAGACCAACCCGGGCAACATAGCGAGACTCGTATCTACATAAAATAAAGTCATTAGCCAGGCATGGCACAGGCCTGTAGTTCCAACTACTTGGGAGGCTGAGACAAGAGCCTATTTACATTTTCTATTTATTCTGTCAGTTTTGGTAGTTTGAATATTTCTAGGAGTTTGTCTGTCTGTTTCATCTAGATTATCTTTTTGGTGTACAGTTCACAGAATTCTCTTAAAAATTTTTTTTGGAGATGGGATCTTGCTGTGTTGTCCAGGCTGGTTTTGAACTCCTGGACTCAAGTGATCCTCCCACCGCAGCGTCCCGAAGTGCTAGGATTCCAGGCATGAGCCACTGTGCCCCGCCTGTTGTTTTCTTTCAATTATTTTTAATATACGCTAAGTAAAATTCACTATTTTAAGTGTTTCTGAGTTTTCATAAATGCATATTTACACCACCACAATCAAGATAGAGAACATTATATCATTCTCCAAACACTCTTGTGTTGCTCATTTGTACTCAACCCTCTACCCCTAACCACTGATCTGTTTTAGATCCCAGTATCTTTGCCTTTTCTAGAATGTTATGTAAATGGAACGATATGTAGCCCTTTGAGCCCTGTTTGTAAAATTTGATCCAATATTTGTAAAATTACCTAACTATACTTGTCTTTTAGAGTTCTAAAAGAGTTGTTTTTTGTTTTTTTAAGACAGAGTCTCACTTTGTTGCCCAGCTAGAGTGCAGTGGTGTCATGATAGCTCACTGCAACCTCAAACTCCTGGGCTCAAGCGATCCTCCTGCCTCAGCCTCCCAAGTAGCTGGGACTACAGGCACACATCACCATGACTGGCTAATTTTTGTTTTTTTTTTTTTTTTTTAGAGATGGGGTCTCCCTCTTGCTCAGGCTGGTCTCAAACTCCTGGCCTCTAGCAATCCCCCCACTTTGGCTTCCCAGAGTGCTAAGATTACAGGCGTGAGCCACCATGCCTAGCTAGAGTTCTGAGCTTAAAAACTTTTGACAGTGCTAAGTGGCACATAATAGGCCTTCAAAACTGAGGGATTACATTATTATGATTACACTGAGGTATGTGAGCCTAGGTTAAGATTCTGTGCTCTCTGCTGTTTTTATCCCCCATGTCAGATGGGTAATGTGCTTTTGAGGAAGTCACATCTCACATGAGTGTGAAAACCCAGTCATCATGCTTAAAAATTACAAAAGGATTCTCTCTGTTCTTAACTTTCTTCATTTGTATGATGGGAGGGAAGACGGGGACAGGAGAGGAAATGAGATGATAATCAAATCACATTCTTCTCTGCAGTACTTAACATTGAGAAATGGACAAAATTTTGTTTGCTTTCCTCATTAACGAAACACAAAGCTATTACATTTTTTCTCTTCCCTAGCATCTGGTGGCAGTCTAAACAGATGAAAAAGCAAAGTGGTTTTTTTGGGCTTTGCGGATCACTAAAACAAAAAGCTTCCAAGAGCTGAGGGCAGGATCCACAAGTTAGCAATGCAGTTAGTCTCTGTGTCAGATGACCCATCTGCCATTTATGAAATTAACATTTCATGGCAATTTTTAACATCTATTCAGATGCAAAAGCCACAGAATACAAAGGCTTTTTATAAAATCCCCACGTCCCTTTTTAACCATTGCAAAAGTACTCGGACCCCCAGTAGTAAATGCAGCATTAACATTATGGCTGCAAAGGAGCATCCCGGTTGGAAGGCAGGAGAGGCTGGGGAGCAGCAGGAGCTAGGTTAAAATGCAACTCACCGTGAATTCAGAAGAGTTGTAAGACACCCCATGATCCGTACCAGTGGGAGGCCTCCTATACAGCCACGTTCAAACTTGTGATAGCATATCGCATAGCCTAAAACTTTCAGCCATTGCAAAAATTAAGCTGAAGCATATCTGTTTATTTTTATGGGGATTCAGAACTATTAACTCCGTGAATGCACAACTGTGTATGTATGTATTGCTCCCCACTATTTACAAATATCCCTGAGTAGTTCCTCAGTTAATTTAGGACCCACTAAGTAGAAGAATATATGAATTTATGATGACAACTTCACTAAGGCTGCTACTGTCTATAGGGAAAATACACAGAACATCCATACATTTCCTGTTATCTCACTTGTCACAGTTTACTTTCCTGCAAAGCCCTTATTTCCTTATAAAAACGTTGCCATTTATAAACTGTCTTTGTCCACAAAAATGTAAGAGCAAGGACTCTAAGAACTTGTTTGTTTCATACTTCTATAGCCAGAACTACGATGCCTTAATTAAATTGTGTACATTCTAAGACCAAAATGCTTAGTATATGAGGGATGCACGGAAATTAGCATCAAGTAAAGAACAGAGACTCTGTGTAGGAAAGGCTCGAGTTGAACTTTGCTCCTGGCTTTGTCCCTAACTCGGTTTGTGATCTCTGGCAATTTACTTAAATGTGTAAGCCTCAGCATTGACCTTACAATGTTTGATGAAAACTGAACTTTAAAATTTTAATTGTTACTTCATAGAAATCAAAGCACAACCTGATAACATGCTAAGAAATATGTCAGTGTTTAGATGATAAATGAGAAAGACCAAAAAGAAAAATTTGGAATGAAAGGTGCTATATACGAAATAGGTACGCGATATCCATCCACTATCTGCCACACCAGGCTAGTAAGAAAATTGTAAAAGTACACTTCAAATCGCCATGGGTCCAATAAACTTCAAGACAAAAAGAGAAGAAATAAAACCACTTAACTATTCAAATATATGTTCTGTAGCTAAAAGAAGACTTAATTATTTCTTACATAAACATTTATGTTTGAAAGAGCTGGAAATTCATTATTTACAGATCTACTTTATGAATGAAGCATTGACAAAGACAATACCATACTTACAACTTGTAAGATGTCTCTCCTGGTGGGAATTTTCTGGAGCTCCGTACATGAATTAACATGAGGTTTCCCCCCACTACTTACAGTTATCGACTTTCTTTCTAGTGTGTGCTCTCACATGTTTTAGAAAGAATGACTTGACAACTAAGGCCTTTGAATGTTACATACATTCATAGGCTATCTGTCCTGTGGCGTGTGCTCATGTGGCTCCGAAGGGATGAGGACCACTTGTAGGCTTTTCCACACTGTTTACATTTATGAGGTTTCTCTCCAGTGTGAATTCGCATATGTTTCGGTAAGGATGAGGACCAGCTGAAGGTTTTCCCACATTGCTTACATTCATAAAGTTTCTGTCCAGTGTGCGTTCTCATGTGACCTCGAAACGATCTAGAAGAAGTGAAAACCTTCCCACATTGTTTACATTCATAAGGTTTCTCTCCAGTGTGAATTCGCACATGTTCTCTAAACGTTGATGGCCAAGCGAAGGCTTTTCCACATTGTTTACATTCATAAGGTTTCACTCCAGTGTGAATTCGCACGTGACTTTTAAAGGATTTGGTAGAACCGAATGCTTTCCCACATTGCTTACATTCATAGGGCTTTTCTCCAGTGTGAGTCTTTTCATGGCTTTGCAAAGATTGGCGATAACTGAATGTTTTCCCACATTTACATTTAAAGGGCTTCTCTCCAGTATGTGTTACCATGTGTATTCGAAATGCCGAGGGATAAATGAATGCTCTCCCACACTTACATTTATATGGCTTGTCGTTTTTGTGAGCTCTTACGTGCCTAGTGAAACTTGAGATGTCATTAAAGGCTACCCTACACTGCTTGCATTCACAGCTTTTCTCTGTTTTGTGAATCTTTACATGATGAATGAGGGAACGGGGATAACAAAAAGCTTTCCCACATGATTTACATTCATAGGGCTTTTTCCCAGTGTGTGTTATCATGTGTCTTTGAAAGACTTTCTCACAGTCCTTACATTTATAAGGCTTCTCTCCAAAGTGAGTTTTCACATGCCTAGTAAAACTGGAGAAGTGATTGAAGGCTACCTTACATTGTTTGCATTCATAGGTTTTCTCTGAAGTGTGAATCTTTATGTGTTGAGTGAGGGAATAGGAGTGGTGAAATGTTTTCCCACATAATTTACATTCATAGGGCTCTTCTCCAGTGTGTGTTATCATGTGTCTTTGAAAGACGGAGGGATAAATAAAGGCTTTCCCACATTTCTTACATTTATATGGCTTTTCTCTTGTGTGAGTTCTCACATGTCTAGTAAGACTGGAGAACTCAGTGAAGACTTTCCTACAGTGCTTGCATTCATAGTTTTTCTCTGACGTGTGAGTCGTGGTATGTTTAGTAAAGGAGGAGAAATAAGGAAAGGTTTTCCCACATAGTTTACATCCATAAGGTTTCTCTACAGTGTGAGGTCTTGCATGACTGCTCTGGTGTGAGGGACAAATACAGGCCAGCTTACATTTCTGACATTGATACGGTTTTTGTCCACAGTGAGATCTGACATGCCTCTTAATAGAAGAAAGATGCAGGAAAAGTGTCCCACACTTGGTGCATTCATATGGTTTTTCTCCAGAAGAAATTTTCTTGTACCGAGTAAGATTTGGCATGTGACTGAAGGTTTCTCCACGTTGATTACCTTCATTATCTTTACAGAGTCTGTTCACCATATGATTTCTGTTAAAAATGAGAAGCATTGTATTTATGGTATGTTCATTTACAATTTGTTAACATGTATTAATATTAGAACTACGTTTCTAATTACATTTGAGTATACATGTTTTTTCTATTCTGAATTGTTTTAAAGTAGAAGAGAGCTCAAGCATATTTATTAATACAGTGTTTAAATACAGTGTTTATTATACATGGGGTTTCCCTGTAATTATTACTAACATGTTTTAAACTCTAAGCCAAATTAAAAATTTTTAATTCTTGTGGATAAACAAATTTGGAGCTAAGCTTATAATATTTTTTCAGTTTCATGACATACTAAGATTCCATCTCGGAATATGCTTTCTCTTGTGAGTACAACTCACCTCATATATGTCCCCTGGTTTTCCCAATTTTTTTCTAAAATGTAGGCACAGGAATTATTTCTTGTGAACTCTGGTATTTTCTGTTCCTTAGATATTTTTTCCCCATTCGTATCCTGCTGAGAAACTGACCCATTGATTTTAAATTGACCTGAAACAAAAAAGTGAACAAATCTTATAAGAAAGACATTGAGGAATGTGGCATTTTGAACAGATTCAAGGGGTCAAAATGTTCGGTATTTCAGTAAACACGATGAAATTATCACAGTCACAGGTTTCAAACAAGAAACCTCTCTGTGATCCATAGTGACCAGTGAAGCATATACCCATCCTGATAATATTAAAGGAGCTTCAGATCCTTTAAACCAAGACAGAAGTCAAATCTGTTTAACACACAGGGATTCACTGTCACAGAATAATGACTACGGATTCTAGGTCCATGATGGCTGTGACCATGTCTGTCTTGTTTACCAATGTATTCCCTGCCCACATTTCAAATCTTGCGAGAGCATTAGAGCAAGAAATACTTGTTCACTAAGTAACTGAGTGAGGGGATGATGTCCCCCTTACCTACTGAGGCCAGGTTCCTGAAGGTTTCCAGCATCACGTCTCGGTAGAGGTTCCTCTGGGCAGAATCCAGCAAAGCCCACTCCTCCAAAGTGAAGTCTATAGCCACATCCTCAAAGACCACTGAGTCCTGAAAAATCCAATGTGTGTGTGTGAGAATTAAAGCACTGGCAAATTGCACTCAATTCAGAAGAAATTCAAACAGGATTCTGTGGTCTCCCAACATCTACTCTATGATATGATCTTCATGCTTACTTCCTAATAAACTTACCAGCACCACTAACACTCTGAACCGGTCTCTACATTTTTATTGTGACTACTTGCTTTATTCTCTTATCAGTGGGGTCAAGAAAGAAATACTGTACAAATGAAACAAATTCTTCCACGTCAAATTGTGCAGTAGAGGGACCCTCAGCAGCCCTCAGTTGCCCAAACCCTGCACATTTCACTGGTCTTCAGGACAAGCCTTTGATTAGCTACTGGAAGAAAATTGTGACACCTTGGAATACACTGCTTGATAAGTCTCTCTTTGTATAGGTGAAGGTGAATCCTTGGGCCGTGACAGAGTTTGTGCTAAATGTGACTGATAAAGGCCTGGTTTTGCCCACTTGGAGCCCTGAGCCACGCTGTCTCAGTTAGATCCCCGGAAGAGGCGGACACTGAATAGCTAAGGTCAGTGAGTACGGCAGTGTGGCTAACCCTCAGTAAACCCCTGCAGTCCGAGGCGTGGGTGAAATTAACATCTCATACATGTTGTGATGCGTCATTGCTGAGAAAACTAAGCTCTGTGCAATTCCATCAGGAGAGAGTAACTCAAAGGTTGAGCCTGGTTTCTCCTGGAGTCTTTCCCTTGTGCCTTTTTCCGTTGCTAATTTTTACATTTATCCTTTCACTGTAATAAACTGCAACACTGAGTATAACAGCTTTTCTGAAATAAAGTATTTCTGTGAAATATGTAGTGAATATCTCATACGTGAGCATGTTTATAGGGACCCCAGAGAAAACTGTCAGTTCCTGTGACAAAAAATAATTCAGAAGAGGTGCTTAACAGTAGATTGGAATTGGCAGAATAAAGAATTAGTGAACTTGAAGGTAGACTAACAGAAATTATACAATCTGAAGAACAGAATGAAGGTAAAAGAACAGAGCCTTAGAGAAACTGGGACACCATTAAGTGTACCAATGCGTATGTAATGGCACTAGAACAAAGAGGAGAGAGAGAAAGCAGAAAAAAATTTAAGAGAAATAATGGCTGAAAGCATTCTAAATATATTGAAAAGCACCAACCTACACGTCCAAGAGTTCAGCAAACTCCAAACAGGAAAATTATAAGGAGATCCACAGGAATGACACAGTAAAAATAGAAAAAGTCAAAGACAAGGAGAAAGTCTTGAAACCAGCCAAAGAAAAATGACTTGTTACTTACAAAGCATCTGCAGTAATACTAAGAGCTGACTTCTCAGCAGAAGCCATGGATGTCAGAAGGGAATGGGATAACATTCAGAGTGCTCAAAGAAATACTATCAGTGCAAAGAGTCTACATACGGAAAACTTTTAGCATATTGACTGCCACACTAGAAAAAAAATTTTTTCCCTTGGGGCCATGGTGTTGTATTACAAAAATAGAATAAAAACTTGGAAAACAAAATGATCCTTTCTAATTTAATTAAAAATTTATTTTTTTGTTTTCTGTGTGTGAGTTGTATGTTTCACGAGGCCTTGGGCTCAAAACTAGTGTGAGTTAAATACAACTCACATGGCAGTTAATGTTTAAAAATGAAGGGAAAATGAATGCAGTTTAAAAAAACCCAAAAGAATTTGCTGCTAGAAGTACTTTTATAAAAAATAAAACAAACTTCAGTAAATTAAAAACAGAAATAATACAAAGTATATTCTCTGACCACCATGGAATGAAATTAGAAACCACTACAGAGAAAATATTTGGCAAATTCACAAATGTGTGGATGTTAACACACTCCTCCATAATAAATGGGCTGAAGAAGAAATCAAAAGGGAAATCAGAAAGTAAGTTGAAATGGATAAGAAATGACATAATATACCAGAACTTATGTGAAGCAGCTTTAAGAAATATTTGGGAAGGAAATTAACATACTAGAGGAAAGTTTGTAAATCAGTAACCTAATCTTCCACCTCAGGACACTAGAAAAAGAAAACTAAACCTAAGGTAATCAGGAGGAAAGAATTAATATTATAGCAAATAATAATGAAATAGAGAAAATCAATAAAACCAAAGCTGCTGCTTTGAAAAAAATCAAAACTGATTTAGCTCGATTGACAAGAAAAAAGAGACTCAAATTAGTAGAAGCAGAAATGAAAGAGTGAACATTACTACAAAACTTAAATAAATTACATGCCAATAAATTAGGTAACTTAGATGAAACACATTCTCAGAAAGACCTAAACTACCAAAATTGACTAAATAGTCTGAATGCACCTATAATAAATGAAGAGACTGAATTAGTAATTAAAAAATATTTTTAAAAAAAGAGAGAAGCCCACACCTAGTTGGCTTGACCCCTGAATTCTACCAAAAATTTAAAGAAAAATGTTCACAGATGTTTACAAAAATCAGGAGAGCAAGGAACAATTTCCAACTCACTTTACAAGGCCATTATTACGAGGCCATTATTATCCTGGTACCAAAACCAGACAAAGACATCACAAGAAAACAACAGACCAATATTTCTTATGGTTATGGGTGCTAAAATCCTCAACAAAATACTAGCAAACCAAATCCAGTATTATATAAAAGAATTATACATTGTGACCAGCTAGAATCTATCTCAGGAATGTGGGGTCGGATTTAACAGATAGCTCATTAGGGGCTTGGATCCAGAATATATAAAGAACTCACAATTTAATAATGAAAAGAAAAATGACCCAATTAAAAGGTGGAGAATGGATGTGAATAGACATTTCTCCAGGGAAGACGGATAGTCAATAAGCACATGAAAAGATGCTCAACATTATTAGTCAGCAAGGAAATGCAAATCAAAACAACAAAGAGATACCAATTCCCACACACTAGGGTGATTAAAATAAAGAAAAATTGGAAAATAAGTTTTGGCAAGGACATGGAGGAACGGCAAATGCAGAAAACAGTTTGGCAGTTCCTCAAAACATTAAACAGATGATCTCTGATTCCTAAGTCCAGCATGTAAGGAGCTTGGAAGTCACCACTCCATCCTAACAAGTTAGACCCGGAATAAACTGAAAAATCAACTCTTCTTATATCCGTCAGAGAACTGAAGTCACAGAGCAAACTCTGTCCCTCAAATTGGAGACAGATGGATATGCAGAATCACAACTTACCAGAACAGAAACCCATGAGCAGAAACCTCTGTGGGAACCGGTACCGGGTAGGAAAATCCGAACTATAATTGATGAGTTGCTGCAGGTGCATTGTGGACAAGTCTGAGAGTCAGGAACCTTAGGGGCCTGGTCTTAAGGGGGAGGGGTGTGCCCATGCTTCTGTGACTTTGACCTCCAGGAGCTCTACCAGGATCTCACAGTGACATTCAGAGAAAAATCCCTTTGAGCTTCTGGCAGGTACAGGAGAAAAAGAACAATTTTGAAACTGAATAATTTGAGATAAGCTAAAGAATTTTGTTCTTAACAGGGCCTTCCCTCAAGAGAAACTATTTTACCGGAGCCTAATCTGTTGGGATTTTATCAGAGTCTGACTGACCGGGGGAAAGAGAATCACCCAACTCCAGCTTCCTCTAACTGTCGTGTCCCGCCTAAGTGGAAGGAGGAGGAAGAACTGAAAAGCACTTGTGAAGGTCACAGTCCGGGGGACAGGCGCACCGGAAGACCGAGACCTAACCGTAGGGTTCTACAAGGCTCCCCTCTGACCACGCCGTACCCCCACATGACTAAAGTGCTGTTTACTCAGTTCCTTTCACCCAGTACATTATTTCCAGCTTTCAACAAAAAATTACAAGGTATACTAAAATGCAAAAGACATAGGGCAAGCCTCAGAACCAGACTCAGATAACATGGCAGGGATATCGGAATTATCAGACTGGGAATAAAAAACAATTATGATTAATAGGTGAAGAGCTCTAATAGTAAAAGTCGACAACATGCAAGAACAGACAGGTAATAGAAGCAGAGAAACAGAAATTCAAAGCAAAGAATAAAAAAAAAAAATGCTAAAGATAAAAAAAAACACCATAGAGACAGAGAATGACTCATGGATTCAGTAGACTGGATGTGGCTGAGGAGAGACTCTTTGAGCCTGATGATGTGTCAATAGGAACTTCTGAAACTGAAAAGCAAAGAGAGAAAAAGGCTGAAATATAATGGAGGACACTACTGTGGGACTACAAAAGGTGTAACCTATGTGTAATTGAATATCAGAAGAACAGGACATAATATTTGAAGCAGTAATAAGAGAATTGCCCCAAATTAAGGTCAGATAGCAGACTACTGATCCAGGATACTCAGAGAACACCAAGTAGGATAAACGTAAAAAAAAAAAAAAAAAAAACCCACAAAACTCCACAGCCAGGAATATCATATTCAAACTGTTCAAAATCAAAGAAAAAGAAAAAAATCCTGTCCAGGCACGGTGGCCCACGCCTGTAATCCTAGCTCTCTGGGAGGCCGAGGCGGGTGGATCGTTTGAGCTCAGGAGTTCGAGACCAGCCTGAGAAAGAGCGAGACCCCGTCTCTACTAAAAATAGAAAGAAATGATCTGGATAACTAA